TAGAAAAAAAAAATGCGGTTAACTACATGGGTCATAAGTTTTTTATTTTTTATAAAAAAACTATCTACTCTTAAACATTATGACCTTTTTTACAATCACCTGCGAACGATTTACAATCGATTGTATGAGTTCGTTTTTGTAATTATTGATAATTTGCGGCTAATTACATACTGCTAATTTCTGGCCCTCTGTTTTTGACTCATACTCTTCAATAAAAAATTATTTATTAATTTAAAAAACAGACTTTTCCAAAAATTGATACGTGAATCGACTGTTTATCCAAATTGTTTTGCGTCGACTGACAAAGTTAAATGTAAAATTATTTGATACTTCTGTTCAATATACGTGCAATTTGAAATAATTAATATTAATTAATATTTGTATTTCCAAATATCGACAATGATTTTCTAAATATGTCCAAATGATTTCCTAATGATAGAGAAAGTCAATTATAGATTATGTAATTATCATTTGCTAAGTATATGACGCTTAAGCTTGAACTCCAATTGAAATCGGTCGTCTCCACATTGTGTTTTTTCCACTAGACAGCCATTCAATTGAGGGTTATTAATTGAATACAATGTTTCGAATCTAATGGAATTAAATAATTCGAATTGAATAAACGAGAAGAGTGCTTGTTCGTTAACGGAAATGAATTTCTATACATGAAATTTCAATGTGGCAATGTCAGCTCAATGTTTCTGAGTTTTCAAAATGAATTAGAACGGAAAGTAACTAGTAATAAGTGATAGTGTAATACATGTAAAAGAAGTAGAATATGGTAATTAAATCCACGAATTAGGGGCTTCTTATTGCGCGTGTTTAATGCATTTCATCGTAGTCCAATCAAATGTTACAATTTCCGGTTATTATGCAGATAGTGAGTTAAATTGTTTGTCACATGTTACCGAAAATAAGTAGACATGTGCGGCGCATGGCAATGCCTCGATCATGGCTAAAGCGCTTCGCAGTCCTGATCACGGTATTAATTATCATCTCTGTTTATATATTTAATGGTGAGTTAAAATTGAAGTGAAGAATTTAATAAATAAAAATCATTAATAAATAATTAACTTGAGGCCCGGTTGGAGTATCTGATTATCTCGTATAGATAGTTTTCATTTCTTTAATTTTTCATCTGAAAATTGGGGGGGGGGGGGGGGGGGGTTTAAAAGAAAATATGTTTTGTGCGGTTAGCGGAGCAATATTTTACAAAGTTGTTTTTTTGAAAAATTAGTAAACATTTTTATGATTTTTAAAATATAAATTTACTTACCGATCATTGGCAGATATCTCCGAATTAGATATGGAAAAATTGAGGTGGTGATCAGCTGGCACTTTGTCGAGTGAGAAGAGGAAGAGTAAAAGAAGTAGGATCAACGTGGCAGAATTTAAGTTAAATGTTCAAATGTTTTTAAAAAAATATATCAGTATGCATTCATTGTACCTCTTCCACCCCCCTTTTATAAAAAAAAAAATAAGAAAAAAAAATATCTATACGAGATAATCAGATACTACAACCGGGTCTTAAGTTATTTTAATTCATACTGTAAATCCAGTGCTTTTATGTTTGGATTTTTAGTACATTTTTATATATTATAGTAGGCAATATTTATCAATTCTCTATATTGAAACATTTTCAATACACATATGGAATCTTCCGTTGACGTTCTATTGATCGGTAGATTACCAGATTTTGAAATTCTTTTATCTTCAGGCCAATTGATCGAGAAGAAAACACCAACTTCAATCACTATCATTACACCAAAAACGACCACTATCGACACTTTTCAATTGAGTAAAGCTGATTTCGTTGGGGCGAATCTACGAGTAAGCTATTCTGAAAACTTATGATTTGTATTGTTTTTTTTGTACGATATTCTGAAATGTTTTTAATAATTTAGGCTTTTTTGAATTCTTCTAGAAAAATTGCGATCCGATCCATATTGCTCTCGTCTGTGCCGGATCCAATGCCAGTCAATCTTTGACAACAGTAGTCAAGTCAATCATGTTCTATCGCTCTAGACCGCTACACTTTCATCTTTTGGTGGACGAAATATCTAAAAATAGCCTCGAAACATTATTTAAAACGTGGAACTTACCGCAAGGTATTGACTTAAACTTTGATTTCAGGTGATTTTATGTAGAATCTGTTCAGTTTGAGTGTTCATTTTTCAAAGAAAGAAATATACTGAATCTTAAGGTACATTAAAATCCAGACAATTTAGAGAAGCAGGTTGAATAATAGATAGAATATTTTAAAAGCCTCTGATCACTATAGTTAGAGAATGCTGTACAGACGAATTAACGTGATTGTGAGAGGGAGACTACTTCAATAATCCCGATTTCTACTACCTACGCTCTACCGGAAACAAAAAGATATAGATTTATTTTTTTTATGTATATTTCTCTTTCCTACTATCATTGCGGTTTTATAGGCGATACTCGCCTTCTACCGTTAGGCCTCTCCTTATTATGCTCTTTCTTGTTTTCTGTTTGCGGTTGTATGGACCGACTTCTTTCAACTGCACCCACTCGGTTTGTACTGAGGGAAACCATAGAAAACCTCACTAGTGCAGCTGACTGGTAATGCAGGGAATCTGCTGTGTTTATCAGTCGCACTGACTCAGTGAGCATAGTAGCTCTCTACATCCGTGCCTAACGCTAGCAGTCTCCATCTAGAGCGTGTAACTAAGCGGACACTCATAGTTTATAGGTATTAAAATATGAGAGTTTATTACTTTAATTATGTTATCTGACTGATTACAAGGATTACGACTAACACATGTCGGAGCCCGATTTGGATCTACCTTCTGCATATCCGAACGGCCTTTCAAATACATAATTGTTTGTCATTACTTGATCAGCATAATCCAGTTATGCTGGCAAGTGCCATGCTGACAATGCTGGATGTCCAAATATTTGACAAAAACCCACTTGACCTAGATCTGGGGCATAACAGTATTATTTTCTGGAGTTTCATGAACAGACAGATTACAATGTGCGCAATTTTAAGTTTGTGAGGCCCGCATGGATACCTCAATTCGCCCTATGCCTCTCTTGCCTAATGCATATCTTTATCTAAATATGGCAAAGATCAATGGATGGGCATCTATGGATACAAAACTTCAGTTTTTCGATAAAATAAAGAATACATCTCGACACATGCAGTCATCTTGCGTGTCGGCGGTATTTATATCCCTGAGTTTTCTACTTCCATTAAAGACGAAGTAATGCTAGGCCCATAAAAGGTATCTCATTTTGTTATTAACAAAATCTAAAAAATGAATAAAAATTAGTAGGGCGCGCGGGATGATAACCTTGAGTTGAAAAAGAACTAGTTTTTGTTCTTTTTATTGTTTCTAGCCATTGCGGTAGGAGTTTAGGATATAGAAGAAACCTGGAATAGGCTGAGGCATGGAGGGGGGGGGGGGGCTCAGCTCATAAAGGTTGCTCGGGATTATCATGGAATTGGAAAAGATAACATGCTTAAACGTAAATCCTTTCTTCCTTTCTTGGAGTCAATTCCTCTGGTATTGTTGATTCATTCACATTGCCGCATCCTTCAGAATTATGTAGTAATAATCGAAGAGCTAGCTGTGTTTAGAGATGGAGGTGATATTATCGCGAGGTTTCGGGATGTATTTAATGGGTTGGATTGATTTGATTGGCCCGAAACATTCGTTTAATTTGTTTTGGAGTTGACTGCTGTATAAACGACACTTTTTATTTTCTTGAGAATGTCGATAGAGAGGATCGTCACCAATTTGACATTGAGCCAGGTGTACTCCACAGTAGTAGCAAACAACTGTGTGAGCAGTTCTATAATGGAAGTAACCTGTTATAGCTAGGGTATCGGGTTTGATTCTGTCATAGCACCATAGTTAAAATGAGGCTAGACGCGTACTCTCCGTGGTAAAGTGTGGGTGGCTTATTATATTCTTTTTTGTGACAGGTTCCTCTTAGGTCCAAGGTATCCAAGATTCGTCCAGGCTTTTCGAAAGGCTAGGCTTAGTCCCTGAATATAATAGCCAACGTTTCATCTTCTGGATATTATTTCTTGTACAAATTTTCTTGTCGCTCCTATTGTGTAGATAACAGTATCCATTACTGTTGGAGCTTGAACAATCCAATAGAGGCATTGTTTCTTTTAGACCGATGAACTTTTGATGCATGCGAATTTTGAAAATGTGGGTTAATTCGGGATAGTATACGTAGATATCCGTAACGTCTGGGGGAGATGAAGTATGGATTCGCAAGAAAGAGTTTCGGATTTTTCCTTGGAGTTCCCAGGGGAGCTCATGTCTTGTTTCAGTGAGGTGGTTGTTCACGATCTGAGCCGTCCTTGATAAGCGCTCCTGAGGATAGGGGGGGGGGGGGGGGCAGTATTGTGTGTGTCTCGAAACTGGCGTCCATATAGCTCCATGAAACTCCTTAAGTGATAAGGGTCCCGTAATCGTCTATATATCCTTGAGCATCCGTAATTATGCTCTGTTGCAATCTTGTGTAGGTCATTTGTGTATGACTTCCCTATGCCTTGTTTCTTTTAGTAGTACATGGAGAGAAAAAGAGTGAAAAAAATACGTAAAAGTTCTGTAAAAATTCATGTGTGAAAGGTAAACGTGGGGCGAAATGTAAAATCGGAAAAAGTGCCGATCATTCGGAACACTTTACCATTCGGTCGGTAAAAAGTCACCTTTGGAGGTAGAAAATTAACGATACTCAGTTCCATAAATTTTGCCGGGACTGGAAAGTACGATTCTAACCTCGCTTTGCTCGGTTATATCGCTGTTTCCAGTCCCTACGAGAATAAAATATTGTGTGCCTCATGGGAATAAAGTATTTTCTGACTCAAACTCAAAATACTTTACTCCCTAGAGCCACAATATACTAATTATCCTTCCGACAATAGGAATTTGCCGGGAGGCGTGATCCGAACATAGACAATGATCCGCGATCGGGTATGACCAACAGTCGTACCAACGCTGTCTAGGAATTTTTCAATTCGGTCACGTAAAAATTACGGTACATCACGTAAAATTCAAGTGAAACTAGATAATTTTTACTTCACTCGGAATAATTTTAACCGGAACTGTGGTAAATTTTACAAGTCCGTAAGAAATTACGTGATTGTCACGTAAATTTTCCAAAGCAAATAATAAAATTGACTGTTCGTCTCTCATTTTTTCCCAAATTTTCCAGTAAAAATCAAGGAAATGACGCTCCAGCCCACGATTACGTGATTAGTCATATAATTTTTCCTGGGTTTTCCTCTCCGTGTAGTTGTTGTTGTTGCTGTTGCATGAAGCAAACAAGGAAGGAACAAGTAATTTATAATTGCTTAGGTTTTTTTTTTCAAAAAAAAAAACTAGTAATATAATTATTCGGATACATAAAGAAAAAAAGGACATGATCCTCCCTTTTCCTAAAATCGTTGGTATCCTTTGGGGACAAACGCTATTTTACGCGATTAGAATGACCTACTTTCGTTTGATTTGCTTTTAATTGCATTCTGATGCCACCATCAGACATAACGTGCTTTATTTGATATGGTCTCATGTGATTATCGTCTAATTTACTTTTTCTGTTTTCTTTCAATAGATAAATCGAATCTCTCATTTTAAATTGTTGAACATTGAGTTTTCTATCATAGTATGTTTTTGATTTTTCCTTTGCCTTGATCAAATGTTCGCGATCGAGGTCTCTTATATTTTGTAGTTTAGTAATTAAGGTCCCGATGTGACTGTGATATGTTCTTATTTGATTCTGAGTGAAGACGAAGGAGGTACGGGCTGTTCGTCCGAAAAGTCGTTCGAAGGGGGTAAAGCGCGTGGCTTCATAGACACACGTATTATGAGAAACGAGATCTACTGCGCACTCCATGCGCCGAATTTGAATTTTGACTTCGGATTCGAGTTGACCAATAGGGAATCAGCCTTACGAGTTTCGACACAGGCGAACTTCATTTACCTATCTCTGCTTTCGTGATAAGGGATGTCGCAAGATTTAACAGTTCATTCAACAGTTTCAGTTGTGAAATATCTGAGATAATCTGCCAATACTTTATGCGATCGTTCTACTGCTCCATTTGATTGTGGGTGAAATGCAGTTGTCCTTAATTGTTTTATCTTAAAATATTTGGCTAATGATTTTATTAATTTGCTCATAAAATTGGCCCTTGATTTGTCAAGATTGTGTGGAGAGTGCCAAATATTGCAATCAAGTACTTGGATTTGGTATTTGCCACTTCTACGGCAGTAGCTTTAGCTAATGGGGCTTTCATAAAAATTTTCGTAAGGTCATCCTGCATCGTTAATATATAAATGTTTCCGGCCTTGGTTTGAGGTAGGGAGCCTACGATGTCCAGTGCAACCCGGTGGGACGCGTCGATTGATGTATCAGTAATTATGATTGGCTGTTTAGTTTTCATTCATAATAATTTTTTCTTCTGACAACGAGGACAGGGTCTGATGGAATCTCCCATTTGTCTTTTCATTCCTTCCCATTTGTATTTCTGTTTGACCCTGGAGGAAGTTCTGGTCACTCCCTTGTGACGTCCTCCCATAGATGCGTAAGCTTCACTAATTATTTCGGGTCTATCAATCTCGTCAGGGATCTTCACAATATTTCTCCAGATGATTAATTTAATTAATGTATCCTGGAACGTGTCGATTATCTTATTTTTCAAACTGTCCCATGAATTAGTATGAATCCCGTCTGGAGAGTGGAAGAAGTTATTAACATTGCATTGATTTTTCAATAGAAGATTTTTCAGAACAGTAAATATTGTGACGAGGCAGAATTTTGCGCCCCCCTTGCTTCTAATTAATACACCTTATTTTTTCGTTAGATCTAAGTTATTCTTTTTTGCCACCGTTGGGCAACCCATCCGCAGATATTGCTTACCCACGCCCCCGTTTCTCCTCCACCCCGGCACTCACTCATCATCCTGGAGGAAAGAAGATTCCACCTGACAAGGAGGAATCACGTGGGGCGCCATTTGGGAATAAATGTATGGATAATTCCCGTCGAAGGCACAATATTCGGGAGTTTAGTATAATTTAAAGATGAAAGGCAATTTTCTGTAATTTAAGGGAGGACCTAAAACAATAACAGGGGTCGAGATGGGGGGGGATTTGAATAATTACTGGGGGGGAGTTATGTAGATTGAAGTTTACTCTATTCAACAAATCCTTACAAGAATCGTAATACAAAAAATAAACCAGACTTTTTGCCAACTACCCAGGTGGGAATTAACAACTGGCCCAGGCCTGGTCAAGGCTTGAACCAGGACCAGAAAGGCCTGTCCGAGGCTTGGATCAACCCTGGTAGGAAACGCTGGTCAAGTTAGGACTGAGGCTTGATCCAAGCCTAGGAATTTAGCATGGACCAAGCCTGGTAATGTACCTTGGGCCGACCCTGGTAAATTAGATTGTTCCAAGCCCTGAAATTTAGATCGAATCTAGCCTGGTTATACATCGTCTACAATAAAAAGTCATATTATCTAATAAAGAACGATAATTATTTGTCTCTTCTTTGAAAAATACAAAATTTTTTGGAATCAGTTATAAATGTTAGAATAATATGATCAATGATAACGTTAGAATACTATAGATGTTCTACTGAAGCGATGTTATGCAGAGTTTCGAGCTCTTTTCCCCTCAGCGGCTCCTCCATCTCGATCAAGTGCAGCCGCTAACCAGTTACTGGTAGTTGTTATTAGCATCATTTCCTTCTCTGACTTCTTATATTTGGCTTTGAGAAAGTCTGCAGAGAAGGCAATTATGTATAATGCCGCGACACTATGATAATTATATTTGTAGCATGTATTTTGAATACTAGTAGATTCAGAGGAAAATTTTAAGACATTTTTCATAGTTCTGGAAAATTTCGATAAAAAAATTAGATAAAAAGATCAAGAAATATATTTTTTTAAGAAAGTGGATTTGATTAACGAACCTCTCATGCATGCGTAACTCATTTTTTTGCTGAAGTTCTTCTTTGCAACTCCACGTGCTGCACGACCAATGCCACTGTAAAGAAGTTGTACCGGCTTATTAATGAAGAGGGGAAGAATTGTTTTGGTATCCTTCACAAAGTCATTCGAACTCGACGTCTCATCAGTCATGACCTCCATCTGAAAAAATTATTCCAAATGATTAAACAACTCCTACTGATGTATAATTCTGGTCGTTAAAAATTCAAACTATTCACTAAAGCAGCTCGACGTTGAGTGACGTCCTCGACATTCTCAGCATTGTCTAAATCTAACAATTTCTCCCATTTCTCAAAATCTTCTAGAGTATCGAGTGGAATTTTCATCCCCAATTTGTCTCGAACCAAAACAAATTTCTCTCCAATAGGCATCATAGGAGCTTTCATGGATTGCTTCAATTCACTTGTGTGATTACTCATGTCCAATTGATGGCATCTTCTCAAATTGCGTAATTCTCCTTTATAATTATATGACAGAAGGGCTAAAGATGCATCCAGATAGTCAGCAAAAAACACTGGAAAAAATGCACAGCTGTTAGTAAAATTGATCAAGATTTATGCCTTCGGAAGGGAAAGACTTCTCTGAATTTTTCTTCTACAACAGAACTTAGAAAATTTACTTTTTACAGGATCATTTTGGTTTTGTTTTCTCAATTGTTGCAGACGATCTTCGCAATGGGTTTTCGGATGCATCTGATTAGTGGCATTGTTCGTGGCTAGAAAAGAGTGAAATGTAACCCAAAATATTAAAAAAAAATATCTAACAGAGAGCATGGATATAGTGAATAAAATATACCTTCTACTGGATGCATTGACCTGATATCACTTTGTAAGACACTAGGGGCCTGAGTTCTGTCACTCAGGGAATCAGCATCTTTTCGGGATCGCTTCGGGGATACAATGGACTCTTCCTCAATATCCTCGAGAGAATAAGAAGTCTTTAGCATGCTTGCAGCTCGTTTTCGTGTGATATCAAGTCCATAGGCACTGTCCACCTCAGAATGAGTTTCGACGTCTGAACGAGTTTTATAGAGCCTTTCAAGCTTCTTTTTAGCTTTTTCGAACGTGGCTGTGGAAGGCAAACCACCCCTTGATGTAAAAATAATTTCGGGAATGTGCAATCTAATTCACTAACAATCTAATTCACCTGCTCTGCCAAGGATTTCGATCTCATAAATGTTCCATGAATTTTGGAAGGGGCGCTCTTCTTGCAGCCATTGTTCAAGTTTTGGCCAATCTTTTTTAGGACGATAGTCACATAAATCTTTCATGGTTTCGCGTTTTCTCACCCATCCATCAGCAACAATTTCAATGATCTTTTTCCCGTCAGTGAATTCTCCCAGGAATTCGACGAGTCGATACCGATATTTATGGCTTTCCTGATCACTCATTATCTACATTAAGCGGAAAAATTATTTCAAGTGTTGGGATGTTGCTTACTTTGATTTTGAGGTTAATTGAATGCCCTTTTTTTCTGCATTCCTTCACAAAACTTATATTTCAGTACCGATGAACAACAAAATAATTTCGTGAATAACAACATGACTTACGTAAAACTCTACGAATAACGTGGCAGTGGATGTATTGTACACATGCACGTTTCTGTGGAAACGCTAAAAACTCTGAAAATGGCGGACTAAAAAATTTAATGGCGTTCCCAAATAACTCCACAAGCGTCTTTACACAACACAACAAATCAGTCTCGTTTCTTTTTCCAATTTCCACTTTTATTTATCCACAATCGATCGAAAAAAAAATGTTTAAGCCGGCAATTTAGAGGAAGAACGCAGAAAAAACGAACGTCCACCTTGAAGCGCTCAACACCACTGAGGACATGTACTGCCCCCTCCCCTCATCGCCTTTGCGATACGCCGCCATTCCGCACCGATGCATATATGCAAGTGCTGTTAATAGTCTTCACGCTAAAAATTAAGCTAATAAATTTTCGTGGATTTTCCATCTATATAGTACTCACCGCCATAATTTAGTCAGGATCCGTGTGAAGCAGGGAAATGATGTACTCTTTCTCCTGAATTATCAACGCTATGCACTTATATTTCACCTGACTGAGTGATAAGAATTCACTAATATTGGACCACTTCTTGAGTTGAAACACTCCAATTTCTGAAGAACGACACGGCGCATAAAATACATCCTTCGTTCTTTTAATTCTGAACCCCTCCATGAAAATATTTTTCTGATTCTCCACATGATTTAAGCTTTTTTCTTCTATGTATAAATTCGTGATCCTGAATAAATTTCAATCGGTCAATTGTACAATATTATTTGGGTCATTAGTACGTAAGACAAAATCATGAAAAGTGACAGACTCCAATGAAACAAAATTTTCTCCATTTTTTAGGATCCTTTCATTTGTTTTCATTCTCTTCACATTTCGAATCAGTTCACGTTTCCTTATCCTGATATTTTGACCAGATTCAAGAGCATTTAGTGGATTGACAATTTGAGGTAAAGGCTTGGCTCTGCTGCTGACATAATTTTTCAATTTTCCAATGTAAGCCTCTTCCCAAAATGCAGAGTAATCATACAAAGCTCGAAAATACTCTGCATCATCAGGTACGTGTAATAAATTATGAAACGTCATCGTTTGGGAATCATCCCCATAATAAAGTGGCAGGATCTCAAAAAAATCTGTCAATAATTTTCTGGCTAATTTCAGATGGTTCACGACCCATACATTATTGCAGAGTATACGACATGACACGTAGAGTAGCAAGAAGTGTTGATACCTTTCTTCATCAAGGACAAATTTGAGTATCACCCCACCTACATACAGTAACAAAAATGCATACTGAGTGGCCTTCCAATGTGAAATATCTTCTGCATCGAAATTCTTCCGTTGAAACTCTGTAGGTACGAACGGCGTCACGGAATCCATCAACTCCTTAAAAACACGCACTTGAGCTGTTGTTAATTTGTATGGATTTTTCTCCCTCTTCACCCACTTTTCACCCAGGATTCCCAGGATCGCATTTAAGAACAAACAATGCATGATGTCTATGGGAACCTGTCTGACTGAATCGAATCCAGGGATGATTATTAGAGGTGATACGAGTGGTTCTTTCGTTGCTGGATCCATCAAGTGGTGTTCAGATCGAGTTTGGGTATTGAAGGTGTCTTTTGTACGTAACGAACATTTAGTTTTTGGATAAATTCTCTTTTTGCTCCGCGTTTGACCTTCAGTCGTACATCGTTCACACCCATAGAAAGCAGTCGCACCTTTGATACATTTTAAAAATGCTCTAGCTGGATTATCAGCGATAATAGTTGCTATTTCACATTTATATTTTTTACCATCAATATTTATTCCCTCAGTAATCAGGTTTCTCAATTCTTCCACAAAATCTTTCAAATACAGCGATACATTCTTGGGCTTGGATTTCCCATAAAAGGGAGCTACCACAAATGGAGTTGTCACATACTGAGAGTGAAGAATTTTCATTGAAATTGGCCACATTTGACCCTTTGAATGAAAATAAACTCTCATTCCATCTACATGTGCCACAACACTAATTGTTTCTTCTGTGTACACATCTGGAACAATTCGTTTCTGTAGGCCATTCTCAATGCCAAGATACACATAATCACCAATTTCATTTTTGTGAGTGAGTAGATTTTTCGCTTTTATCTTATGTTTGAAGCCCAGCAATTGGTGAGCAGTCTGTGGCAGATCTGTAAAGCCCACGCTCTTCCATATTTGTAACATTTCAGTCACAGCTTTTAACTTTATGGATCCAATATTATTTATAGCCCATGGGCGTATCATCTGCTCCAAATTAGAGGGTTCAGGAGATGCTGCGTTCTGCTCTCGAACCATTGTTGGCTCCTCTACTCCATCCTCCTCCTCGTCCATGAAATTTCCTTGATTCTCCGCACAGAAAGTTAAATTTTCTGTGAAACTTCCAACAGGAATGTCATTCGACGAAGAATCATCACTAAAACTCTGATGGAATTGGTCTATGCACTCTTTGAGGTTACATTGATCGATGTCAACCCAATCATTCTCATTTTCTTCATCAAATGCAGATGATAATTGTTCAGATAACACCTCATCATCACTACTGTCGAAGCTATTAGATACATAAGACTCTCGGAATTTCGTCAACATTCGATATTTTCTCACTCTTTCAGTCGATTTAGGATTACTGCGTGTATTTGATGCCATACTATTAACAATAATCTAACTACTCGTATATGGAAGGTTCTATACTCGGTAACTCGTTCTGAGAAGAAGTCATGAGGCAAAACACTGACACAATAACTGTTTTTTTTAAATAACTACAACTATAAAGTTACCAGCATGTGATCTCTGACGTCAGCTGTACAAGGAACTATACTGTATAGTGAATCCTATACTAAGAGACACTAGGCATTATCATGGCTTGGGTGACGGTCTTGAATACAGCCTGGGCCAAGCTTAGTAAGTACAGGCTTGAATACCAATCCTGAGCCTAGACTGGGCCAGGTGTGGTATCTAAGGCTCATATTTACCAATCTTAGATATAGACTGGTAGCACCATCGGCGTAAGCCAGGGCCAGCCTGGATAAACCAAGGCTTGGAAATCAAGACTATTCCAAGCTTGGACCGGTCGTCAAGGCTTGGCGCTTCCTACCTGGGTAATCAATTCGAGTATGGGGGGTAAGGCCAACTCACTTGCGGCTACGCCAAATACTATCACACAGAAAAGAGGTGATCCTAAATCTTCAAAAGGGGTGAAATGAGGGGGGACCGAATGGAAATAATTCATAGGGGGTTTAAATGACAACAGATGAATATGAATTTAATAGAGGTCCGCCGTTGGGGAGAAACTAATACGGAGTAGGGAAATTCGTTGGAGCAAAGAATAAAAATGGGGCATTCACGGGAATGGCGTCACAGCAAACCTCCCGCTTTTCTTTGGGGTTTCTCCTCCTTCCTTCCTTCTTTCTCCTCGATTTCTCCGGGTATCCTCTCCAAACTATTCTGCCACACAATCTTTCTCTCCAATCTCCTCTAAATAGTTCTTCCAATAGTTCTTCCACACTAGTTCCTCTCCTCACAATGATTCTCATAATAGTTCTCCTCACAATAGGTCACTCCAGCAATATCTCTTTATAGGGTCTCTTCACAGGGTCTCCTCACACAAATTCCTCTCCTCTCAATAATTACTCTCTATTACTCGGGGCAATGACTCGTGGGGCAACTGTCGATCTGCTTCGCCGATTATCGGTGATAATCGGGTGTGGTTTTTCTTCTCGCGGGACGTCCTCTTCCTTCCGGGGTCACGTGGTTGCACAGGGTCTCCTCACAAGTTCTCTTCACAGGGTTTCTTCACACTTCTCCAACATTATTCTCTCCGGGACAATGACTCGTGCCACAGCTGCCCCACGAATCACTGTGACAAGAAACCCGGGAAAGAGAAACCTGTGAAGAGACCCAGTGAAGAGAGACTTGTGTGAGAGGAGAGAGTTGAGGAAAGAGAGACCTGAGTGAAAGGAGAGAATTATGGAGAGAAAGAGACTTGTATGGATTTTTGTGAAGTTGGACAAGTTCGAAGAGTTTACCCAGGAGAGGAACGAAGGAAGGCAGGAGGAAAGTGCCCCAGGACTGCCGAAAGGAGAGTTGCTAACGTCATCACCCCTGAGTGCCCCATTTTTGTTCCCTGCCCCAACGAAGTTCCCTGCCACATATTAATTTCTCTCAACGGTGAGCCTCCAGTGCATACATTTTCTTTTGTTGTAAGTCAAGCCGTCTATTAATGAATGAATGAATGTTTATTTCCAAATTTTCACTGTATGGCTTTATACCTTTTATAGTTAAGTACAGTTTTACAGTTAGGTATTGTTTATATTCACGCGTCGTATCTTAATTACATTATTAGATACATTAATCGGAAAGAAGTTGATAGTTCACGTGCAAAAAAACAGCCCCATAAAGTTACTCCCCATTTTTATTTCGAACTTGGAGGAGATGTTGCTGATAATTCCGCTCACTTCTTGTCTCAACCCTTTGCTGGGCCATCTCGAGGTTTCCATTCCCAGGATGGGAACGTTAGGTACCTGAAAGCCCTCATCAGTGCTACGATCTCCAGACTGCGGCGCCTTGCCTCGAATCTCCATATGTACGTTGAGGTGTTAGGGGCCAGTCCCCTCGCCAATTTCACGTAGCGGCTTTGCATTTTGTCTGCTCTGCCTGGCTCTCTCCCAGTTTGCCGTTTTCCTCAGCCCATTTTGCCAATCTCTTTGCCATAATTTTTGTTAAGAGTTTGTAGCCCACATGCAGCAGGGAGATTCCCCGATAATTCGATGCCTTGTCTACTTCTTCTGATTTGTCGATTGGGTAAATATGGGCAGTTTCCCGCCCCTCTGCCAGGAAGAATTTTATAACCTTGGGGATTGTATCAGAATTAACAGCGCTCAGAAAAATTTTACCATTGTGACTGGAGACCAATGCCTGTCCCATGAATACGTTGTTGTCAAGTGGTATTTTGGGAAGATATCCTACTGGGGGGGAATTTTCGGCCACTGTTAAATAAATCACTTTCCTGTTTCTTGGTGGAAGAATAACTACCAATAACAATGTCCTTCGTTTTTTAGTTCCAACTTCTGTGTGGAATAACTTATTCTGGTTGATTAGTCAGCGAGGAAAGGGGTACCTAGTATACCATCTTGCTGAAGTCCCAACTCGTTTCCTACAACGTGAAAGTGAACGTTTTGTCCGAACATAGAAATTTTAACCGACCCCAGGGTAATCAAACTTGTTGAGGCAACTCAACAAGAGAGAGCTGTCTATTTTATTCTCCGCGATTAGAACGTTTTGTTCGATCAAATTAATTTCCGCGCCGGTGTCGATCATCAGGGAAAACGGGGTAACTTGATTTCATTTTTTCAAAATGATCGTTGGCGTATTGGACGTATTGTTTATATTGAATCAATTGAAAGCTCTTCTTGGGCTCGGGTGGCGCAATGTGTAGCCTTCTTCTCCATACGTGCGCTGGACGTAGAGGGACGTGACTCGTTTCCCGAAAAATGTTGATCAGCGTCTTACCTTTCGCGTTCAAT